TTTTTTTCAGATCTAGAAAAAGGTAAAGATGTCCATTTTCATTATTCTTATTAAATCTAGTACTGGAATTCCTGATAGATCAATTAGGCAAAGAAAATAAATCAAAGGTGTGTGACCAGGAAGGGAAGAGGTCCCATTTCCTGTTTGCAGTGAGTTTAAGTACAGAAAACTGAAAGATTCCATCAAAAGACTATTAGAAATGATAAATGAATTCACCAAAATAGTAAGATCAAGTAAGAATACAACAATCCATAGCTTTTCTATACTCCAATAATGGACTCACTGAGAAAGAAATTATAGATAAAGAAAACACAATACTGAGTAATGAACTTAACCAAGGAAGTGAAAGACCTCTACAATGGCAATTACAAAATACTGACAAAAGAACACAAAAAAATAAGAGACTTTTCATGTTCATGGATTGGAATAATTTACATAAAATTTTCATTCTTCTAAATGGAATTTACAGATTTTGCTCAGTCCTTATCAAAATACCAATTTCAGCCCTCACAGAACTCAAGTAAACCACCCCAAACCTGATGTAGATGCACAAAAGACATGGACTAGCCAAAGAAATCTTGAGCAAAAAACCCAAAGCGTTACACATCCAAACATCTGAGTACAAGACTTCCTACAGAGTGAGTGTAACCAAGACGGCATGGTTCTAGGGTCAAAGCCAGCCCATGGAGCAGTGCCAAGACAGAGGGGCTGGACCTGAACCTGTGCACTGGGGCACCCGGACACTCAGCCCAGACTCCCGGCACACGCACACGCACTGGGGAAAGGAGGCCTTGGCAAAAAGCAATGCTGGGAACACTGGCTCCACAGGTACGAGTAGGCAACCTGACCCTGCTTGTCACTTAGCACAAGAATCAATTCAACACAGATCAAAGGCCGACACAGAAGGCCCCAAACCACCCGGAGATACAGTGAGATATCTGCTTAGGCAATGGTTTTTCAGATAAGATCACAGAAGCAAAACTTGACTATAGGATTCTCCTAGTCTGAGAGTCTTCTGCACAACCCGAAAAATGGTGAGCAGAATAAAGTGACAGCTACAGCGTGGGATAAAATACATACAAATCTTTCATCCAATAGAACATTAACATCCAAGGAAGCTCAGGAGTTTGACAGTAAGCCAAAACCTGAACTTAAAATGGGCAAATCATCTGGATACTTCTCAAGGGAAGCAAAAATGGCCAAAATGTGAAAAATTAGTCAATGTCAGGAGCCTTCAAGAAAATGTAAATCAAAACCACAATGAAACAGCACCTCAGCAGCCAGAAGATACTATCAAAGAAGGAAAAAAATGATAAATACAGGTGAGGATGCAGAGAAAAGCACTCTTAGGCACTGCTGGAGAGACTGGAAGAGTGGTGTGAGGTCCACACAGAAAAGCAGAAGTCAGTCCACTACAGGACCCAGCCCTTCGCCTTTCTGGCATTTAAGAAAATAAATTCAGGGGTTGGGGTTAGCTCAGTGGTGCCACCACCTGCCTTGCAAGAGAAAGGCCCTGAGTTCAGGCCATGGTAAACAAACAAACCAATAAAACCCCCAAAACAACAACAACGACCCAGAAAATAAATTCAGAATGCTGAGGAGACACTGCCCTCCCATGCGCAGAGTGTCACTCATCGGGACCTGAAAATGAGTTACAGGGGTATCAAGCGATGGGTGAATGCACACATGAACTGTGATTTGTGTACACAGTGGAGTGCCACTCAGCTAGAAAGAGGAGGAGGAGAAAGAGGAAGAGGGAGAAGCGGGGAGAGGGATGGGCTACATTGACATCTGTGGCAAAATGAAAGGAACTGGAGGGCATTACGATGTTCAGTGAGATAAGCCAGCACAGAAAAGCAAACGCGAGGTGTTCTCGCTCACGAGTGAAGCTAACAGAGCACTCTGCTAGTACAGTCGAATCCCAGAGTCTGGGAAGGGGAGGGCTGGGAGGAGGTGGTCAGACGGAAGGAGTACGACCCAGTGTCCTGCGGCACAGTACCCAGCCACGGTTTGCTACAACCTACTCTGCGCCCTCGAGAACTAGGAGGGGGGAGTCCAAAGCTCCACACGAAGCCGCTGGTGAGGAGAGAGAAGAGCGAATCATCCGATCTGATCAGCTCGCACTGTCTGCATGCACTGCATATCACACATATGCACGATTTCTGTTAATTAAAATTTTTTTAAAAATCAAAAAGCTCCTTGTGCTGCCTGAAGGTGAGTTATGGAGAAGGAGAAAAAGCGGTCATGAGAATTAGATAAGGATTCATCAAGAGAAGAGGAGACTTGGACCAAAGGGGCAGGGCCGGCAGTTGTTGTAGGAGGCCGTCTGTGTCACAGTGGAGGAGCGCGGAGAGGTGCTGGCTGTGAGGAGGACCAGCAGGGAAGGGCGGGCGCTGGTGCGCCTGGCTCTGGCCCCAGCTGGAGCCGCTGAGGCTGTCTTGGATGGCCATCCCGTGGCTGGGGCTTCGGGGCCCAGGTAAGGCCATGTGAAACGGGGAGCTCAGGGTGGACAGTCAATCTCAAGTTGGCCTTAGGACAACGAATCTGGAGTAGTGGAGATGCCTTGGTTTAAGGTGTAAGCTGGGAAAATATGAGCTTAAAGGGGATTTGAGAGAATGTCTTAGTATGGACGGAGAGAAGAGAAGGAGGTCCAAGAAGAAAGCGCCATGCAGTGCTATCCCGTGGTAGCAGGCAAGTGAGAGGGCACGGGAGGAAAGCCAAAGAGCAGCAGCGAGGCAGGAGGAAATCAGAGAGGCGCGTCTGGGAAGTGTGCGGGATCTGCTTCCGGAGGAAGGAGGGGCGGACGCGCTGCACTATGCAGGGTATTAGGGGGTATCCGCACTGGCCAGGAGAGCCGGTGAAGCGGTCACCACCGGTGGCCTTCTCAGCATTATCTCTGGTGAAGCAATGGCTCACATGTCTGAGTGTAATGGGTTCAGATTTAATACTGCTAAAATGCCCATTCTCTCCTGACTGACCTAGACACGTCCTGCAGTCTCAACCAAAATCTTGGCAAGAACTAAAATCGCCTAAACAATGATGAAAACTAAAGAAGGAAAATGCACATGTTATGATTTTAAGATTTGCTATAAAGCTACAGTAATCAGGACAGTGTGGTAGTGGTGGAAATATAGAAAACTGAATAGTGTAGAGAGTCCACAGACACAGAATGTATCACTGAATTTTTATAATAATACAAAGGCAATTCTATGAAGACAGGAAAAGCTTTTCAGTAGAAAGCACTGGAGCCATTATGCCCACATATGCAAAAACTATCCTCGATTTCTATTTTACAGCTAATTAAAAAACAACACTAAAACCCTAAGTGGAGCATTGACCTATAGATAAAAGGTAGATAAGCAGGGTATGGTGGTGTGTACCTGCGATCACGCACTCTGGTAGGCTGAGGCAGGAGGGTTAGAAATTCAAGCTCATTCTGAGCAATTTAAGAACTTAGAGAGACCCTGTCATTAGATTTAAGGTAAGGATGGGACATAGCTAAATGCATAGGCCCTGGGCTCGAGCCCCAGCACTAAACTATCAATAAATGGAAAAAATAGACCTTTTAGGAGAAACAGGAAAAACTGATATGGTTTAGCTAGGAGCACTATCCACAGATGTGAAAAGGTAAATTACAAACTGTGTCCCAGATGCACCTGGGAGCGGAAAGACAAAGCAGAGAGGAAGAAAATGTTAGCAGATCAAATGTCTGACCAAAGACTTCTGCCCACAGCACTGAGGAACTCGCCAAGCTCAGGCTGCTGTGCTCCCGAGCGTGTCAAATCGTGGCTGTCCTCACCGCGGGAACGGTTCTTCTGTGACGCAAGCAAAGCGCTAAATTAGCTGGATTCAGTCACCCTCAGTGTGTATGTATTTCAAAACACCATGTATATAATAAATACCAATGATCTTATACTTCAATTGAAAATTAAAAACTGGACAATAAGCAAATAAACTAATGAAACTAGGAAAAAATTTCCATAGATTTTTCATGAAAAGAGATATTCAGATAGAAAATCAGGTCAAGCGGGGGTGGATGAAATTATTCATTTCAGTGAAATAAGATTAAGGCCAGGGTGTGATTTCACCACTCCCACTAGGAAGAAAGGAAGGAGGAGGATGAGGAGGAGGGGAGGGGAAGGAGTGGTGTGCTTTTCCTTTCCTTTCTGCCTCTGATATTTTAAAGCACCATGGAAAGCCTTAGGAAAAAAATATAGAAATATAGTCTATAGAAAAAAGTAATGGATAGCCAAAAAGAAAATAAAAGTGTTGTCCTTGTTTCTACCCCACAACTTTCTGGAAAAGCATCACTGCCTCTGTTTTCAAGAGTGAAATCATTTAGGGTATTTTACTACATCCTAGCAAGCTGTTCGCGGAAAGGCTTTCCATCCACTGAATCACTGGCCCAAAGTGGGGTTATACAGCAGAGGAGAGACATCCGGGAGGAAAAGTCTGGGTAGTTTGGTGGGTAAGAGCCAACTGTACCAATGGACTGCGTGGTCAGTCTGCACCGTGTGTGCCCTGCCACACTGGCACCGGAAGTGGCCAGCACTGGGAAAATAAGCCAGAGCCGGACATCTGAGTTAAAGTAAACAAGTCAGCTCCTTTCCAGTTAACTCCCTTTGGAAATTTTCTTTTCATGTTCCATATCCACTGAGAGCTTTAAGTCTGATTTCACACCGAATTTGGGCAGGGACCCACAGCATCCTTAGTAGGAAGGGGACCCCTTCCTGACACTGTGGTGGGAAGGTCCTGCAGCTCAGGCTGGGGACCACACTGAGTCACGCTGACCAGGGACTGAGTGAAGGGGACAGGAAGGGGAGGGCACCTTCATCCTGAAGAAGGTGATGCTGGTGAGCAGGTCCACTGTGGACTTTAGGTCCTGCAGCCTCTCGCTGTTGCTAGCGGGGAAGTTTTCCTGGTAAACAGAAAGCAGAACGTGAGGAAATTTCCAGAAGGAAAATAAACTAAAACTGGCTCATAATGAAACAAAGAGGGGAGAAAACAAATGACATTTTTAAAAATCCCTAAATACTTCACACAGAAAATGAAAGACTTGGAAATATGCATACTCTTCGTTGCCTGAGAAAGTCATTGGCCCGTCCCAATCACCCAATAAAAAGACACAAAACAGTACTATTGCAATGTTATGATGATTCTTGCTCATAACACAGTTTCTCCCTGAAAAGAAGGGAGAACAGCATATATTTGGAAATTCTTCATGATTTTCTAAAGACGGCGCTTTTACTTTCAACTGTACTTTGAGCATTGCTCATGCAGTACATTGACTTTTAGTCACAAAGAAACTTTGAAAAGAAAAAAATAAGTCTCTTCTGTAAATTTCCACAAGTTTCCTTTAGAGATTTGGTGAGAAGGACCATTTAAGAGTACAGATGTTCATAATTTTGCAGGAAGGGGAAGGTGACTTCCAGGCGTTTCTAGGCCGAGGGCAGCACTGGGTGGCGAGACACCCAGTGAGCTCCCAAGCACCCTTTTCCAGGGCCTGGCGTGGCCACTGTTCCTGGGGAGGGGCCCTGCTGCAACGCGAGCTGTGAGACTGATGAAGTCTGGCTTGTAATTCCCAGAAATTTGCAGTTAGGCATGTCCGTAAGGGGCTAATGAAATAAATGTGGGGGATGCACGTGTACCTACAAGAAAATACATTTAGGGTAAGCTGTTCGTGAGCACAAGATGCCCAACACCATTTATAGTTGGGACTGCAGCATTTCTGTGATTAAAATTTGTAACTGAGTGTTTTGTAACTAAGCTGCACTGTGACCAAAGTGGCGTGTGTATGTCTGCACACATATTCCACAGCCACAAAACAGGCAGTGGGTATGTGTTCGTGTTTCATCTGGATGTGAAATAACAAAACTGCGGCCAATGAGCTCTGCACTGACGTTGGGGGGAGAGCTGATGATGGTACTTAAACGGTTACCAAGGCAAAGCTGCACACACCCAGGCAGTGCTGTTAGGATCGTCGTGGTTTATGTGGGGCAAAGTACTGGACAGGAAAAGAGAAGGGCAGGATGGACCCAAGTGTGGAGGACCCGAAACGGGCACCCTGACATTTCCTGTGCACTGTGCTCAGGTTTCCAGCACAAGAGAAATCATGTGGCGCAGACAGAACAGTTCACCTGCTGGGAAACCCTTCTGTACGTACCCGGTACTTTGACAGGTCAATCCTTAGGGAGTTGTGCAGCTGGTCCAGCAGTTTTATGAATTTTTCCCTCTGTACCAAGAAAATACAAAAGAGGAGGATAGAATTAAATGGCCACTCTAAATGCAACCCTCACAATTATCTGTACGAGTCAGGGTTCCACTTTGAGAACAGAAGGCAGGGAACAGTCGGCCACTTGACCAAGACAGTGGGTGGAGCTACTCAGTCCTCCAGCCCAGCTCCAACCCTGGCAGTCGCACTGCACCCCTGTAAGGCAGGCAGGAGGGGAGTGCTGCAGGGACAGCCCTGCCGGGGGCCACCGCCCTCTGCACCGACTCTGGAGGAAACGGCGCCTCCCAGGACGCTCCGCAGACCACACCAGTGAAGCGGGCACAGCTGCCACTTGTGTCACACACAACTTGAAAAAGCACTTTCCTTTGGAAGCAAATATAAAGTTCGGGACCTAGAAACACCAGCTGCTCTGACAAGATGCTCACCACTTACTGCTAACAGAGTCTGAACATCAAGCCCCTGGGGCTGCCGCGGCCTCTAGATGCCATGGCAGGGTCAGGGTGCTCTGGATAGATGTGGGACAGGCGGCGAGAGTGAGGGCTTTTGCCAATAAGCGGACATTGAACCTGTGAATTAAGTACAAGCGAGGGAGAGACAGCCAAAGCACACCGGCAAACCTACAGTGGACACTGCTATTGAGATTCAGTTTTCTCATCAAAAACCTTAAAAGGAGGGGCGCTGTGACCCCTCATCCCGATCTGTCAGCTTCACCAGATTAAGAAATGCCCGGAGATTACTAGAGCGCCCGGGTGTGTGTGTGGGTGAGGCCTGGGTCGGCGTCGGGGTCTAAGTCTGCCCTGCCCCTCCCTCACTGGCGCTCTTCCCTGCTCTGCTCCTGACAGCCATGAGCTGAGCAGCTCTGCTCCACCACACCCTTCCGCCATGACGTTCCCGCCTTGGAGCAGCCGACCATGGACTGGATCCCCCCAAACTGTGAGCCAAGTTGTGGGTGTCAGGTGCCATGCCCCAGGGACGGGAAATTAACTAATGCAGGAATAGGGCAACGTGAAAGGAAAGAATCTCTGCTATATTTACAGTATTTGAACACCAGGGGAGACACTGAAAAAATGGAAGGGGTCCCCAGTATTTTCATGCAGGAGATGGATTTATGGGGTAGAGAACTGTTGGTCCTGAATTACTGGTCTCAATAGGGTGAGCTGAGTATGGTTCTCCCTACAGGGCAGTGGACTTCGGCTTTATCAGGATTTCCTGCAGTCTTCGTTAAGCAGAGCTTCTGGCCTTTTTTCCTTTGTCTTCTGAGCTTCTCCCCCTGTCTCATCCCCAGCTCAGCAGGAGGAGGAGCCTGTCCCATGTCTACAAAGAGAAGATCCAAACCATGAGGGGGATGTGCGGAGCTCATCCCAGTGGTCCTGGATCCTCCCGCCTCAGCCTCAGGAAAGCCTGTGGTGGTGTTTACCCGATTTCTCCTGCAGCCGACACCGCCTCACATCTGGGCTACACCCAGGTCTTCAGGACCCAGCTGGGAAATTCGCATCCAAGGAAAACACAAAACTGGAGGAAACTGCTGAGCTTGTCCAAGACCCCAGACCATATCGGACGATGCAACACTGAAGTGTGCTGCTGGCTGCATTCTCAGATTCTCGTGAACAGCTGGGAGGCTGAGATGTGATCCATTCCCAGCACGCCATGGCCCGGTGGGCCCGGCTGTGGCGATGGGTCCGAGGAGGGGGCACAGTGCCTGCGGCTCCTTCCTGCCCTTGTGCAGCGGCGCAGCGGTCCTGGCAGCCAGGGACAGGTGGGGAGGGATCGCCGTGGCAATGCAAGTATCACCGCCTCTCAGAAGTCTAGGTTTCCCGAACCAGGCTGGGTCAGCAAACTGTCACGGCCGGGACAGTAGAGCACCGCCTTCACTGACCGCAGCCCGACCCTCTGCCCTGATGCTCTAGGACAGCTGTGAAGGAAGGGTCGCCGCCGCCTTCCAAACAAGTTCTATTTACAGACCCTGAAATTCAGGTTGTACGTGGTTTTCACGCATCATGAAATGGTGATCTTTGGATTTTTTTTTCAACGTTTAAAGATGTGATGAGCATTCTCAGCTGACGGGCCACACTAGAGCTGGGGGGTGAATGGGGCGAGCCGAGGGCTGGGGGCTGAGGAGGCAGGTGCCACCCCACAGGCAGGCAGGGCAGCCCCGGGCTGGGAGCTGTGGGTGCAGCCCCGACCCCTGCTTCTTCCTCATCTCACGCCCAGCGGGGTGGACTGGGCCAGCGGCCACTACTGTCTGAGCTTTGGCCCTTACCTGACTGCCTCAGCCTCCTCACTAGGACCCTCCCCATGTGGTCGTCAGGTTCTGCAGGATGTGTAGGGGTCATATGAAAAGTATTTGGAACTGGACGAGCGAATCACGCCTCTCTCATCACACCCTCTGCAGTCCGTTAAGACCGGCCCCTTGGCAGCAGACTGCGCAGGCCATTTGGATGACTGGGCTCCTTCAAGGTCGGGCGCGGGCGTGGGGAAATCCATTTAGATTCCTTGTTGGCTGAGAGCTGCACCGACACCACCAAAGTCGCTGAGACGCAGACACCACTGCAGCGAGGCCTCCGGGGCCGGGCCGGGCCGGGCCTCCCTCCCCTCCCTGTCTGTAGAGCAGAGGGTGAACCCACGCCCCCCTCACTCTGCAGCCGCAGCACCCCGCCGGGCTGCACTTCGGAAAGGTAACCATCTACTCCACTCCTCCTCCGGCCTTTCCGTCTCTTCTGCGCGCCGCCGGCCAGTTCTGTCTCCCTGCAGGGCGCCCATCCCCTCCTAATGCTCGATGGCACAACACAGAAAACAGGCGGAGTCGGGGCTGCGCGGCCCTGGCCTTGGCCACCGTGGCCCAGCGTGTCCCGGCCCCGAGCCCTGAGGTCCCAGTGAGCTCGGCTCCCCTCCTTTACTGCAGGACCGAGGACAGACCTGCCCGCCTGCTTAGCTTTGTTACGGGCCATTGTCTTCATTACATCCTCAGTGAGAGAAGTACGACAGATGTTTTCTTAAATTCCAGAGAAGCCCTTAAAACCTGTGTGGCCTTATCAGTGAGTGATGAAGATGAAGCAGACTTCACTGAAAAAGCAAGTAAAAACCGCTGCTCAGCTCCGCTACGTGAGGTGTCTTCCACTGCTTCCTGTGGAATCATTACGGCCCAGGAAGCCACAGGCAGGAAAGTCATCCCGGGCAGGCGCCGGGCGGTGAGGACAGTGGTGGCGTCCTGGGATCTGCCATGCTGACGGTGCTCGTCGTGAACACTGATTTTCTGCCAAGTCTGTGTCCCTCCTCAAGGGCACCTTCTCAGGGGCACAGGCGGTGCCCAGCCTGGGTGGCAGAGGAGCCGCTGTCCTGCACACAGGGCTGGGTCCTCGGCTCCCTCACCCAGCAACCTCGCCCTGGCTCAGCCTCCTCCTGCTCTGGGTCAGGGAGGGCGTGCGTGTGTGGACAGTGAGGCGCCCGGCCCCATCCTGCTGCTGATGCTTCCCTGGGGTGTCTGGGTGTCTGTGGAGGGCACCCCGCATCCTTCCCTGTGCTGAGTCTGATTCTCGGGGAGAGCCCTTCCACTTGAGGTTGTGGCTTTGTCATCCAACCGACCCTTGTTCTACACATCCGTCTCTGCAACACTGACTCGGGGCTCGCTCCCCTCAACCGAAGTGCTATCCCACCCCACCTCACCCTTCCGGGACGACACACATGGCTTCCCCAGCTTTCAGTCCTCCACAGCAATCCTGTGTCCAGCCAGCAACCCAGCCTCCTCCTCACCTCCGCCTGCTGTCCTCCCTGACCTTACTTGCAAATTTTGTTTTATTTTGCTTTTTTGAGACAGGGTCTCACTATGTAGTTCAGGCTGGCCTTGAACTCACTATATAGCCCAGGCTGGCCTTTAACTTGCAGCAACCCTCCTGCCTCAGCCTCCTGAGAGTAAGGGCTAGGACTACGGCCTTGGTCACCACACCTGGTGCCTTTTTTGACTTACATCTTCATTTCTCCTGTCATAACTGAAATGTCTTCCTAGGCCTATGGTATAGTTTTTCTACTGCACCTTGGACTTGAAAATTCAATCCATCACCCCTCTGTCACGCTTTCATGAGACCCAGGAAAGAACCAACCCCTTGTTCCTCTTGGCCAGGGCTGTACAAACTCCACTGAGATCCCCTACACGTTAGGAGCAACGCACGGTTACTTTTACAGGTGTCTGTGATGGGCTCATTGGAGTGTAAGCCTTGAAGAGTAACCATCAGCATTCAGTCTCCAGCCCTGCATCACCCGCCATAGTAACTGACGTGAATTATTGTGTAAATGTGCACAGAAAGAGAAAGTGGGCAAAGAAAAAACATACGGAAGGATAAAGATACAGATTTGCATGTCCATTTTTGTCCGGGGGGATATAATCTCAGGGAAAAAAACAGAGCTAAATAAACATCAATCTTACTAATAACTCATTTATTTATTTTGAGACAGTGTCTCATTGTGTAGCCCAGGATGACCTCTAACTTGTGATCCTCCTGCCTCAGCCTCTTTGCTAAGTAAGTTTTCTGAGGTCATCTTGAAGACTCCTCCTCAGCCCTGGCCTGCCTATGAGTCTCTCCAGTAAGATTCCTGGTATTGACTCCAATACCAGCCTTTTCCCATGGTGCACTGCTCAGTTGTCTCTAAAGCAAGGGCTCTGATGCCCAGTTTGGAGGCTGCCTGTCTGAGCCCAATGGAACCCAGGGCCAGAGGAGCAGCAGGCGTGCCTGTCCTGCAGCACCCAGAGCCATGTGGAACCTCGGCCAAGAGGTCCACTGTTCACCACCCACTGCAGCATCACATGGCTGGCCCTGAGCCTCCACGGCCTCTGTCCACGCTCACCCCAGCATCTGTCCAGCCCCAGCCACGTCTGGCCACGCCCAGAGCGACCACCCCTGACCTGGGGGGCTCCCCACACAGCAGGCAGCCTGTGGTCCCAACCCCAGGGGGACCCCAGCTTGACTTCAGGCTCCCCTCGCGTCCCCTTTAACATCATCGAAAACCCTCCTTCCTCCTCTGGCCCACCACGCAGCGGCTTGGAGGTGTGCTGCTCTGCGCTTCCGCAGCTGCCTGGAGGTGAGGAGGCGGCATCTCCCCTGGGCCCCTGGCGTGCTGCAGGGGGAGCACCTGTCCCCTCTCCGCCGGACATGACCTCGACCTGCCTCTCCTGGGAAATGTGCAGCCCACTCTTGCAACTGGTCCCTTCCCTAGCGACCTGGAAATACCTTCAAATCTGTCTTATTCAACAGTGAAAAAGTCCCACCTGATTAGAGGGCAAAAAGCAAATTCTCCTCACACTGTGAAACCTCGCTCTTGCTCAATCCTGCTTTCTTCCTTCTCATTCAAGTTCCCTCAAAAAGTAGTCCATATTCTGGCCCACTTTCGCTTTCTGTAGATCGTTCTTAAAATATTAATACAACTCTTTTGTTTCTGTTTTTGAGTAGTAGATGATAAAGCCTGGGGTGGACCCCAAGCGGAGGAGGCTGTTTTACACCAACGCATGGAATCAGCAGGTAGCAACAGCAGTGATAGGAGACCATATGAACTCGCCTGCCAAATCACCAACCCAGCAAGCTGAACCTGGGGGAAATGTTTCTTTGTTCAGCCTAAGCTACGAGAAGTTGTTTAATTTACAAAATGAATTTATGATAATCACATTGCCATGGAAACCAGAAACACAGCGAGATCAGACTGCTCTCTGCTCTCCGGGTCAGCGTGAAGTAAGGAGTGTGCTCTGCCGTCTTCTCCAGGCAGTTCTCACAGCGATGTTAACCATGCAGCTAGGTCTTCTTTCTCGGAGGTAGGAAGGCTCCACGCTCCCCGTGGCTGGCTTGTTCTCACAATGCCCTACATGGCAGAATGTCAGAAGCAAAGCAGAATGCTGCGTGTCATGGGCAGACTTGCAAGACACGATTCTAGAACAACGCTGTTCCCTGGTCTGGTCTTCGGTCCCAACAGGACCTTGCTGAGCTGCACAGGGAACACTCTTTGCCCCGTCAGAGGGGCTCTGCCGCCCGAGGCTCACTGCAGCCTGGCAAGCCGAGCAGAAGGACGGACTCCCACACACTCATGTAACTCCAGGGCTTTCCTCTGTACGCACCGGTTTCCCAAGTTTTGATCTCCTTGGATCTTCATCTTAATTTTGACAAACTGTAGAGTGAGGGTTATGATCTCCAGGGAGCAGATGAGAAACTGAGTTTTGGACAGCAGAACCAGGCCGCTAAGTTCCAGTAGAAACCCAAGCCCTGATGAGCCAGGGATGCTCTGTCAGGAGGATTCTTCCGATCTGCCGCTGTGCAGCGCTCCCTCTTCCTGCTTAGCTCGAGTGCATTCTCTCTCAGGTGAACAGCAGCATGTGCTTCCCTAACCCAACTGGGTTCAATCCCTTCCCCTGCTGGGCCAGCCGACTCTGTTCCGCGATACGCACTCCGTTTTCTATCAACAATAAAATCTGCCCGGTGAGTTGAACTGGGAAGCATAGCCATGGTGTCCTGGAAACCATGCTCCTACCGTGGATCTTACTTCCTCCACGAAATTAAAAGGGGAGAGAGGTGACGGTACCCACAGAGTTACTGACAGCACTGCCACCCACCGCAGCAGAGAGCTGGCAGGCGTCCCGGGGGCCACCATGCTCACCTGACCCCTTCCCCAAGGACCCAGAGTTGTCGCTGGGCTACTGATTTGTGCCCTGAAACTTTCTCTAATCTGCACTTCTCCATCTCAGCCGCTGCTTACTCTAGGCTCTTTCTGTTTCACTGGTATCACTCTTCTTTTATGTCCTAGTAAAGGTGTTTTCAACTGTAGTTTTATTGCACTTGTGACGGGTGCAGGAGATAAACTTTCAGGACCCCTTGAAAGCCTGCATGTTCTCGATGCCTCTGAGCGCTGTGGACAGGCAGCTAAGGTTAGGTGCGGTCATTCTCCCAGGCTTCTCCGTGCCAGCTGCTGTTTACTCAGAGGATGCACAGGGGACCGGGACCAGGACTGGGACCAACCCGAGGCAGCTGGAGCACAGGCTCCTGGGGCCGGATCTAGAATGGTGGCCCCAGCTCATCCACATGGAGAATTTCCCAAACACTCCACTCCACTCTTGTGAAAATGGTGCTTCCTGCACCAGAAACGGTCACTCTGGATGTGGAGATTAACATGACTGAAGACTCCTGCTGACCATCAAAGTCATTTTGCCGCGTATTTCAAATGCACTCTGAACTGCGGGTCATTATTCTAAGAGAAGTTCCCTACGCTGACTCCTATAAGGTAAGTGTGGTACCTAGAGCCCCGAACACCTTGAAAATGTAAGTCCCACAAACTACAAGTTTAAAGTTCAATTCCTGAGCACAGGAAGACAAATAAACAGTGCTGAAGTTCATACTTACACCAAAGTTGGTGGCGGCAAATCTGTCGGAGGCGGAAACCTGCACATTCGTGGTCGCGGTGGTGTGCGCGTAGAAGGCGTTGATGTTGGCCAGCAGGGTGCTCATGACGGCGGGCACCCCGGGGCACATGTACTTGGAGGACAGGCAGGAAAAGTGCCTGCAAGACAGAAAGCACCGAGAGCTGTGAGACAGAAACGGGCTCACTGGGCTGCAGAGGTCTGCGGCGGGAGAACAGGGAACTCCCACAGCCTCCAGGAGGGCCAGGGCGGCCCGGACCCCTTTTCAGGTACACGAGCGCTGCTGGCAGGTGGAGATCCCCATGGAGAGGGCTGTGGGCCCACACGGAGGAGCAACTCAGGGCCCGATTCCTGTGGAGGGTGGCACGGACCGGCCCGGCCCAGACCTGCTGCTTGCTTGGCTTGTGCAAGCAACGCTGTCCCCGAGCACCGAGCTGCACGTCCGATTGATTGATTGACTTTTAAATATTTCTTTATTGGTACATTTTAGGGACACGGTAAGATTACATTCATCATTGGGATCCTGCACCTTTCCATGACGTATCTTGGTTCTTATTTTTCCCAGTTCGCTGCCCTTCCTACACCCACTCCACCCTCCCTATTTACAAAGGCTTTGTTTCATGTTTTTCCTTTTATTTATTTTCCCTTCTTCCCTTTCCCTTACCTCTCCCATTAACACAATACCTGTAGCCCTTTTCTTCCTATTACAAAATATCCATTATACATTCTGACTGTTATATTTTTAGTTTATCACACCAGAGAAACTATATGGTATTTACACATGTATCCTATTAATTTCACTTAATGTCCTCAATGTGCATCCACTTAGCTATAAATGACTACAGTTTCTCATTCTTTATGGCTGAGTAGCACTCCATTTTATAGAAGAACCACATCTTCTTTATCCAGTCTCCAGTTGATGGACAATTGGGCTGTTTCCAAGCTTTAGCTATTACAAACTGCTGCTATAAACATGGGTGAGCATATAGCACTGTGGTATGATGCTTTTAATTCTTTTGGGAAGATACCCAGCAGGGGGATAGCTGGGTCAAATGGGACCTCTAATCCTAGTTCTTTGAGGTATCACCATATTGATTTCCACAGTGGTTACACCAGTCTGCACTCCCACCAACAATGAAGAAGGGTCCTGTCCCCACAACCCTGCCAACATTTATAATTGGTTGATTTCTTGATAGCAGCCATTCTTTCTGGGGTGAGGTGGAATCTCAGTGTTGTTTTCATCTCCATCTCTCCAATGAACCATGATGTTGAACATTTTTCATGTATTTATTTGCTGCTTTCACTTCTTTCTCTCAGAAATGTCTGTTCATTTCAGGTGCCCATTTTTTAAATTGCATCTTTATATTAGGGGGCCTGTGTTTTTGAGTTCTTTATACATTCTAGATAGACCTTTGTCTGAGGAACAGCTGGTAAAATTTGTCCCACTGTCGGTTGTCTGTTAGCTCTGTGATTTCTCTGGCAGTGAAGAAGCTTTTTTAAAAGATGAGATCCCAGTTGTTGATTCTTTGTGGTAGTTCTTGTGCTACTGAGGATTTGTTCATAAAGTCTTTTCCTATGCCAATGTCTTCAAGAGTTCTACCTAACTTATCTTCCAACAGGTTTAGTGTTTCTGTTTTGATATTTAGATCTTTAATCCACTTGGATTTTACTTTAGTGCATGTTGAAAGATAAGGGTCTAGTTTTAATCTTTGGCAAGTTGAAATCCAGTTTTTCCAACACCATTTATTAAAGAGGCTCTCTTTCCTCCAGTGAGGATGGTTGGCTCCTTTGTCAAAGATGAGGTAGCTGAGTGTGTCTAGAGTTGTTTCTGCATCTTCTAATCTATTCCACTGGTCCTTGGGTCTGTTTCTTTGCCAGTACCATGCTGTTCTTAACACAGTGGCTTTGTAGTATAGTTTCAAGCTGGGGACTGTGATACCCCCTGATGTGTCTCTGTTGCCTAGAATTGCTTTTGCTCTTCTAGGTCTCTTCTGATTCCAAATGTTTTCTCTGGTTCTGTGAAATATAGTGTTGGGATTTCAGTAGGAATTGCACTGAATCTGTATAGCAGTTTTGGAAGTATGGTCATTTTCACTATATTTGTTCTTCCTCCCCAGGAACAAGGGATATCTTTCCATTTTCTTATATCCTCTATGATCTCTTTTTTCAGAGTGTTGTAGTTCTCAAGGTAGAAGTCTTTTGCTTCCTTTGTTAGATTTATTCCTAGATATTTCATGTTTTTGGATGCTATTGTAAAAGGGATTTTTTCCCTAATTTCTCTCTTAGTGAGTCTGTTATTTGTATACAAGAAGGCTATTGATTTTTGAGTGTTTACCTTGTATCCAGCTACTCTACTCAATCTGTCAATTAAGTGTAGAAGTCTTTTGGTGTTGTTTTTTGGGTCTTCTATGTAGAATATCATATCGTGAGCAAGACGACAGTTTAACTTCTTTCCTATGTTTATTGCTTTTCTTTCTTTCTCTGGTCTAATTGTTTGGCTAATGTTTCCAAAACTATATTGAATAGGAGTGGTGATAGCAGACATCCTTGTCTTGTTCCCGATTTTTGCATGAAGGTTTTCAGTTTTTGCCCATTAAGTATGATGTTGGCTGTTGATTTTTCATAGATAGCCTTTATCAAATTGAGATAAAGACCATCTATTCCATTTTTCTGCAGGTTTTCATTATAAATGGGTGTTTAATTTTGTCAAATTATTTTTCGGCATCTATTGAGATGATCATATGGTTTTTGTCCTTGATTCTGTTAATATAGTGTATTATGTTTATTGATTTATGTATGTTGAAACATCCTTGCTTATTTGGGCTCACTGTGTTTTCCTAGTGTGGGCATTCCCTGCTATAAATTTCCCTCATAGAATTGCTTTCATTGTGTCCCATAGATTCCTGTACGTTGTATTGGTATTATCATTTATTGTAAAAACTGCTTAATTTTTCCTTTAATTTCCTCTGTGAACCCTTGGTTGTTCAGGAGAGTGTTATTCAATTTCCATGTGTTTGTGAAGTTCTTGCAGTTTCTTTTGTTATTGATCTCCAGTTTAATTGCAGAATGGTCTGACAATATACATGGGATAATTTACCTCATTTGTGTGTACTTAAACATGTTCTTTGAGCTAGTATGAGGTCTATTTTTGAGAATGACCCATGTTCAGCAGAAAAGAACATATATTCTGATTTTTTGGGGGTGGAACACTCTGTAGACATCTATTAAGTCCATTTATTCAAAAGCTTAGTTTAGTTCTAATATTTCATTGTTGATTTTTTGACTAGATGATCTGTTGGTGACAGTGGGGTATTGAGGTCCCCCACTGCAATTGTATTAGTGCTTATTTGTAATTAGTCTTTTAATATTTGTAACAGTTGGGGGTATTAGTACTTGGTGAACACATATTTATGATTGTCATCGCTTCCTCTTGGATTGTTCCCTTTACAAGGATGTAGTGACCTTCTTTGTCTCTCTTAATTAGTTTTGTTTTGAAATTTTCTTTGTCTGCAAATGAGAGAGCAACCCCTGCTTTTGTCTGGGTTCCTGTCACATATATACTGGTTTTCCTCCCTTTTACTTTTAGTCTATGAGTTTCTTTTTGAACTAGGTGCATTTCTTGTATACAGCATATTGTTGGATTTTGCTTCTTAATCCTTCTGCCAGTTGATTTCTTTTGATTGGTGAATTGAGGCCATTAACATTGATGATTTTAACTGATATGTATTGAAATCATTATAATGTTATTATCCTGTTGCTGGCTCTTTTTAATTCCCCCCCCTCCTTTACTTTCTTGCCTTGACTGCTAGATTTGCTCTTTTGGGCCTCATGGAGTTGTGATTTTCATTGGCTTTTTCTAGGATATTGTTTAGAAGTGTTCGGAGTGCCGGTTTGGTGTTCATGAAATTTCTCAGGTGTTCTTTGTCATGGAAGTATCTTATTTCCCCATTAATTTTGAAAGATAGTTTTGCAGGATACACCTGTCTAGGCTGTAGGTTGTTTTCTTTTAGGGCTTGAAATATGTCACTCCAGGCTCTTGACTTGAGGGTCTGTGTTGAAAAATCTGCTGTGATTCTGATGGGCTTTTCTGTGTATATGATTTGTTTCTTTTCTTTAACTGCTCGTAGTATTTTGTTTTTCTGTTGGGTTTCTGGATCTTGATTATTGTATATCTGGTTTCCAGGATCTTATTATATGTCTAGGTATAGGTTTTTTTTTATTATTATTATGGCTAACTGGAGTCCTATATGCCTCACTTGTTTGTATGTTAAATTCTTTTGCTCTGTTTGGGAAGTTTTCTGTCATTAATTCTGTGAGCAGTTTTTTATTATGTCACTTGTTCTTTCTCCTGCTTTTTCATGGACTCCTGTCAGTCTTATGTTATTCTTCTTTGTATCCTCTAGGAGCTGTTGGATTGATTTCTCATGTTCCCTTACTATTTTTAAGAGATCCTTCTTTTCATGGCCACTGATCTCCATCCTATCTTCTATATCTGGTATCCTGTCTTCAGGTTGGCTTAATCTGTTATATAAACTTTCAATAGAGTTTTTAATCTCCTGGATATCTGTTTGAATCTGTTTCATGGATTCCATTTCTTTCCTATGCTGGGCATTCATGGCTTCTATCACGGTCCTGAGCTCATGTATTTTTTTTTTTAATATCTGTTTCTGTACTAGAGTCTCTAATCATGCCATTCATTCTGCTCACCATCTCTGTAGTTATCTGGGAAAATTATTTCTGTTTTAAATTTTTCTAGCATCTCATTCGTTTATGTTGTTACTTCCTGTGCTATCAGTTCAGGGTGACCAAGTGGTTGATCATCAGATTTTTCCATTTCATTTCCCCCAGAATTTGCCCTTGGTAAGCTGGAAGTCTGTATTTGTGCTTGAGCCTTGTTTGAATGTTTTCCCATTTTTATTTTTGTTGATGCTACTATCCTTGATTTAATTCCCAGGTTAATACTTTGATCTTCCAGATGTAGCTTTAGGTTTTGAATCTCTAATGATTCAGAGGCAATCTCTTTTTCATTATACCAGGAAGGACAACTGATTAGATCAACCACAACATCTTAGCCCAAGTGATACAGTCAGCAACACAATAGAACAGCATCAAGCACAGCTTAGAAAAATGACAGTTTGTG